GGCCATGGCCATCATAGAAAAATCTTTGGCCACCCCACTGGCCACCCTGCTGTACACACCCCTTCCACAGTGAAGCAACCTTTAGGGGTGTAATAATCCTCCTGAACAGTTGGTGGCAGTGTTTAACAGTTTGAAACATCACCAAGCTCTATCACTGAAGAAGAGTAAAGACAAAGAAGTGATGGTTTTCTTTCTATACAGAACATATGCTTGTAATCTGATTTATGGTGTCAACTTTTTGACTTACGGTAACAATTTTTTGTCATTTTCTGCATGATTCTCTGTCCCATTTGGTTATGAGCAGTTCTATCACTAAATCGGAAAAAATGAAACACCCCTCTAAATTCACTGTTGGTGGTTATCAATGTTGCACCTGTTCATTGGGTAATATTATTAATATTAGTTTTAAACATGCAGCTGAGGGTCATCATTATTTGGCACAATGACATGTGTTGCAATTGAAAATAAATCAATAAACAACATACAAGTAAAAACCACCCCTAAAGTAATTGGATATGATAAATAGTATCACTTTAATTAACCTTATCTCAGCTGTAGCAGTGAGTTTAAAAACAGGATGATGGAACTACTTTAATGAATAATCTGTCTCTGAAATAATTATTAAATCAAGTGTTTATTTATGTAGGGAAAATTATGTTTAATAACCTGTTAAAATACTCCAGAATGCAGGAAATGGCATCAATTTTATTCAAAATTTTCTGGGGGAGGACCCCCCCCCCACTTACAAACAGGGTGTCCCCCCACTTTTAAAATGGTTCTGACACTCATGTCAGATAGTCACTGCCTGTATAAGGACATAAGGAAATGACCAAAACATAGTGATCTGCAGAAAACTTAAAAAAATTATGTAATGTTCCTGGCCACTATGTCAGTAGTAGTCCCAGTCTGGCCACCCCTGAGAAAAATGTCTGGCTCTGCCACTGACGTGATCAGTGATGTCCGAAGCTTCCAAAGTGCTGAAGTTATGTCACTGCTTTGGTACCTGAATCAAAGCTCTATGAGGAAGTGAATCATTGACCAGATTCTTGGTGTGTTTTGATGGCAATTTTGCACCAATAGGAAACCAGTGAGTAAGACATGGAGCCAGACATACTTATGTATTTAGTTTATCATGCGGTTTTAAACACTTTTACCTCAAGAGAAAGAACTAATACAAGTAAAGCACACACAAACAGCCAGTCGTTTTTCAAAGACGTTCTTATTATCATGATAGCTCCAAAGATAATCTTAATGTTAACACATCACACACAGCAGGAATATCTCAGCTCGGAAGGATTGCAATTTGAGGATATTCAACATGCTGGATTGTCTTGGTCCGATATCATAGCGTGTGTGGTGTTCACCCAAGAACAAACGAGCTGCAGCCTGATGAATATGACGTGCAGCCAATCAGAAAGCAAGGTGAGTGAAACACAAAGAGCAATCCAAAATACAGAAGACAASACAACTGCCATGGTGCACCAGTTAGTCCGCTGGACGTCAGAGATGTCTCTTTGTTTTTTTTTTTTTTTCTCTGTTAAAACTACTCCACAGCTATAACCATCGCCTCTTCCTCCTCTGCCATGTTTATTTACTCTGAACTCATGTTTGATCTCAAGAGGTCTTGTGAGATTTCTTGTTTGACATCTGAATGTTGGTGAATGAAATCTGTTGTTGTGTGCTGTGTGGCTGTACACCACTCACATGAAGGACCAAAACTGTCTTAATTAGAAATAAAAGCAGAAATATGTCAGTGGACCAATAAATAAATACGTACATTTAAAGGGCACCACTTAATCAAAAAAAGAGAACTTTACCACATGTTTTATCATTTAATTACATCATATA